CCCCCCCCCTTACCCTAAAAGAAAAGAAAACCTATTCTCCGTAAAGAGCGACCATCTCAACAAACACCATAAAGAAGAGACCTAGCCCTAACCCTAACCCTGACCCAATCCCAAACTCTACCCCACCCCTACCCCAACCCAACCCTAACCCTAACCCTACATCTAAACCTAACCCTCAACAAATACAATACAGAAGAAACATACTCCATATCTCTACCCCTACCCCTTCCCCTACCCCTAACCCTCAACAAACACAATAAAGAAGAGACTTAACCCGAGCTAACCCTACCCCTACCCCACCCCCAAAACAACCCCTAACCCTAAACCTCAACAAACACAATAAAGAACAGACCTGTACCCTTACCCTTACCCCTATCCCCACCTCCACACCTTCCCTAATCCTAACCTTAACCCTACCCCTATCCATCAACAATTACTTAATAAAGAAGAGACCTACCCCTACCCCAAATCCTACCTCAAACCGTACCCCTACCCCTACCCCCAACCCTACCCCCACCCCTACCCTACTCCAACTCTAAACGAACCCTAACCCTAACCCTTCCCCTATCCCTAACTTTCAACAAACACAATAAAGAAGAGACCTAACCATAACCCTACCCCTATCCCAACCCTCAGCCTAACCCTAAACCTAACCCTAACCCTCAACAAACAAGAAAGAGGAGACCTACCCCTACCCCTAAACCTAACCCTAAGATATGCAGATGACACGGCCGTAATAGCAGAAGATGAAGAACACCTACAGGATCTATTAAATGTCATCGTACAAGACAGTGACAACATGGGCCTAAGCTTAAACACCAAGAAAACTGAAACAATGGTGATTTATAAGCAGAAAAACACCAACCCCAACCCACAATATCAAAATCAATGGTGCCACCCTCAAGCAAGTGCGTACAACATCATTTTAAATATTTGGGGACCATTATATCATCAGATGGGAGATGTCACATCAAAATTAAAAGCCGCATTTGTCAAACAAAAGCAACCTTCCACAAAATGAAATAGATACTTACAAACATCACTCAGTCACAGGAAACAAGAAAAAGAGTACCGAAAAGTTACATTGACCCGATCCTATTATACGGGTGCGAAGCATGGACAATCAATTGACAGCTGGGAAGAACAATTGAGGCGACAGAGCTATGCTTCTTAAGGCGCATGCTGCGTATCCCACGGACAGCTAGAAAACAAATGAAGAAGTCTTTGTTGAAGCAAATTGCAGACGACAGCTTAAGACAAATATACGAAAGGGAAAGGCAAAGTTCATTGGACTCAGAATGCAGAAAGAAGCATTGAAGACTATTGTAACAACAGGCAAGTTTGATAGAAAAAGAGGCAGAGGCAGACAGAGAGAAAAGATACAGGACAGGTTGAAAACATGGCTGGGAACAGCAAGAACGACATACACCATCGCTACAACGCAAGACAGAGTGAAGTGGAGGCCAATGATCGCAGTCGGCAAGGCACCGGATGATGATAGATCTAGTGTTGACAAGGGCGTTAAACCTACACCATTTTCACTTTTTTCTGTGTACATCTTTAGTGCAGCGTAACGGCTCTTCACTGAGTTGACCATTGCCTAGACAGCCTCTGGCAAAATCTCCAGACTTGACTACATTCCGTCATTGCACGAACGTTCCACTGTCGCACCACGTGACACTGTGTTGTCGCTGGTAGAACTCCTGATTGTACTTCTGTAACTTCCAGTTTGTCTACCTTCTTCATTTTCCAGTTGGTCTCCAATAACATGTCTGATATGGCAATCTTGTTTCTGGCATTCTCAAAACATTTCCTAAATATCTCTCTCTTCTCCTTTTTATAGTCGTCTTAAAGTTTTCAACTTCAGCTCATCCAAACGCATCATCACTTATAATACATTCATTAAATTTAATTGAAAAAATTCCTCGTAAACATTTTGTTTAAAAGTTACTGTGGCTTTTTTTCTATTGATTGCATTATATACGTGTAGTTTCTGTTATAAGAAAGTAATAAAGCAAAGACTAATAATTGATTCAATATGAAATCTATAATAATAAATTAATGTATTGCTGCTGCTGCTGTTGCTGCTGCTGCTGCTGCTGCTACTTAACTACTACTACTACTACTACTACTACTATTACAACTACTACTACTACTACTACTACTACTATTACAACTACTACTACTACTACTACTACTACTAC